GGGGAGTGTACCAAAACCCTTATGATTCATTTAGAATGCCCCTCTAGTGTTTGCGACTACTAAAACCTATAATATATATGTAGACCTCACTATTTTCCCTTTTATTATCTACATTCCTCTATTCTTATTATACATATTCCTTAGGACAAAAAGCAGCTTATTAATCATCACCCTTAATCTATATATTGGGATTTTTTTATTTCCCCCGCAAGCCAAATCTTGAACTGGATTCAGCACCACCGTACTGGTTAGGGAGTCAGTGATCTGGAACAAGCATGTTGTCAGTAAATGGTTAGGACCTCCGATATGCACTTGTTTATGCAGGGTTTGCCATGCACCAAATAGTGAAGAAAGATAAGGATGACAGCCCTGGAACCTTCACTTATAGACAAGTCAACAGTGGCTGCTTGCATATTTTTGTCCTCATAGGTTCCTTTTAAAAGGAACCAATAACATACCTTTAAGGAGGACTTGTAATGTGGTAGCTGTGCTCAAAATAATGGCAAGCAAAGGGCAAAAGACTAGTCACCAGTATTCTCTGTTGTCTCCCTGCACTGCTTATACTGCTCTTTTCCTTTCGCATGGCCATCTTAGTTGAGGCAGGGCTTTGTTTCCTCATATGAGAACTGGCCCTCTGATGGCTGGCGGAGTAATGATCAAGAAACAGTAGGGAAGATTGAGGAAGCACAGGTCCCTAGGTTGAATGTAGTGGAAGCAGGAAGATCCTTGCACTGCAGGTACAGCTTCCTCATCAGCAAGGAGAACAGTGAGAAGCACAGTAGTGACATCACCAAATTTCACCCCAAATCTTGTGAGTCTGGCAGGAAGGGAACTGCTATTTTTCAGGTGTAATTAAAGTAAAATTGAGGGTACTGTTTTGGTACAATAAATATTTCTAGATGTGCCGTATATAATTCAGGTTCACTTTAACTGAAAACTACAGTTTCCAGCAAATCCTTTGTTTACATTATCCTTCCACTGTCTATGCTAATGCTGGTTCAGTTAAGTCCATTTAAAAATGGTCCTATTTGTATTGTTACTGTAGTCCTGACTTGAGATAGTGTTTAGGGGAACAAGATATGATTGAAGGTAATAGCTAAGCAGTCATCATGTGGATCTAAAATAAAACATTATTCTAGTAATGTGAGGTCTGCAGCACCTACACATAACATTTTGTATTTCTTTTCATGGCTTAGCTAAACGTGTCACTGTCAGTTTTAAGAAGCTGTACAATCTCTTTCAGCAATGTTAAGGGCCTGCACCTCAACATGGTGTTTGTGGCCAGCTCCAAGCCTGTGGTCTTCCTCTCCATTCTGCTGGGCAAGTATTTCCCGGGGCTATTCGGCTTGAATGATCTAGAAGTAAGGAGAATGTTCCCCTTTATGAAGAACGTGGTTGGCCATGTGATGATGGAGAGCGGGTACATGCATCTCCAGGCCACCAAGCCAGATACAGCAGGTAAGATTCCACTTCAGCTTTGGTGAACACAGGCAATTTTTATGCTAACCTGTAATTCATTTTTCTCCATCATTTACAAAAATTGGTGTAGCGGCACTACCATGTGACTTAGGTGTTCAATAAACTTTATAGTTTTCTGGGGGGGGGGGAGGGGGAGTGTACCAAAACCCTTATGATTCATTTAGAATGCCCCTCTAGTGTTTGCGACTACTAAAACCTATAATATATATGTAGACCTCACTATTTTCCCTTTTATTATCTACATTCCTCTATTCTTATTATACATATTCCTTAGGACAAAAAGCAGCTTATTAATCATCACCCTTAATCTATATATTGGGATTTTTTTATTTCCCCCGCAAGCCAAATCTTGAACTGGATTCAGCACCACCGTACTGGTTAGGGAGTCAGTGATCTGGAACAAGCATGTTGTCAGTAAATGGTTAGGACCTCCGATATGCACTTGTTTATGCAGGGTTTGCCATGCACCAAATAGTGAAGAAAGATAAGGATGACAGCCCTGGAACCTTCACTTATAGACAAGTCAACAGTGGCTGCTTGCATATTTTTGTCCTCATAGGTTCCTTTTAAAAGGAACCAATAACATACCTTTAAGGAGGACTTGTAATGTGGTAGCTGTGCTCAAAATAATGGCAAGCAAAGGGCAAAAGACTAGTCACCAGTATTCTCTGTTGTCTCCCTGCACTGCTTATACTGCTCTTTTCCTTTCGCATGGCCATCTTAGTTGAGGCAGGGCTTTGTTTCCTCATATGAGAACTGGCCCTCTGATGGCTGGCGGAGTAATGATCAAGAAACAGTAGGGAAGATTGAGGAAGCACAGGTCCCTAGGTTGAATGTAGTGGAAGCAGGAAGATCCTTGCACTGCAGGTACAGCTTCCTCATCAGCAAGGAGAACAGTGAGAAGCACAGTAGTGACATCACCAAATTTCACCCCAAATCTTGTGAGTCTGGCAGGAAGGGAACTGCTATTTTTCAGGTGTAATTAAAGTAAAATTGAGGGTACTGTTTTGGTACAATAAATATTTCTAGATGTGCCGTATATAATTCAGGTTCACTTTAACTGAAAACTACAGTTTCCAGCAAATCCTTTGTTTACATTATCCTTCCACTGTCTATGCTAATGCTGGTTCAGTTAAGTCCATTTAAAAATGGTCCTATTTGTATTGTTACTGTAGTCCTGACTTGAGATAGTGTTTAGGGGAACAAGATATGATTGAAGGTAATAGCTAAGCAGTCATCATGTGGATCTAAAATAAAACATTATTCTAGTAATGTGAGGTCTGCAGCACCTACACATAACATTTTGTATTTCTTTTCATGGCTTAGCTAAACGTGTCACTGTCAGTTTTAAGAAGCTGTACAATCTCTTTCAGCAATGTTAAGGGCCTGCACCTCAACATGGTGTTTGTGGCCAGCTCCAAGCCTGTGGTCTTCCTCTCCATTCTGCTGGGCAAGTATTTCCCGGGGCTATTCGGCTTGAATGATCTAGAAGTAAGGAGAATGTTCCCCTTTATGAAGAACGTGGTTGGCCATGTGATGATGGAGAGCGGGTACATGCATCTCCAGGCCACCAAGCCAGATACAGCAGGTAAGATTCCACTTCAGCTTTGGTGAACACAGGCAATTTTTATGCTAACCTGTAATTCATTTTTCTCCATCATTTACAAAAATTGGTGTAGCGGCACTACCATGTGACTTAGGTGTTCAATAAACTTTATTTATCCCAGTACAATGGGCACCCCACCAGACTCCTTTAAAGTTGCATTAAGGGCAAAAGTCCCCCCATGGTGCTAATGTAAGGACTTACCTTAAATGATGCCTCTTAATCCGATCATCTTCTTTCCTGTCCTCTTCATCTGTCCCTCAAGCGCTGGTGCCGGTTTCCGATCCAGCGCTGACTCCTCTGTCGTCTTCTCTGATGTCCCACGGAGTCTGTGCGGGTGCACGCTGCTCCATAGACTTACCTTGTGTCTCTCCTCGTCTCCAGGCCGAACATCTGAAGTGTGTATGTGCCCGCCCCAAGATCCTTTGTGGCCGCCAGATACATTTTTAGATGTTCGGACGGGAGCGCGCGGCGGAGACACAGGTAAGTTTGAACCCTTTGAAAAAGTTTTTTTTTTTTTTTTTAAATAGTGTTGCATATATCTACTGCTTGCTAGCAATAGATATATGCAAAAACATGCAAGGGTTTAAGAATCCTTTAAGCCAGTGCTCCCCAACCTTTTTATCGCCGCGGACCGGTCAACGTTTGATAATTTTACTGTGGCCCGCTGAGGGGGGGGACGTTGATTGTTTATATTTTAGATTGTTTCGATTTCATCATTTTAATTTAATAGTATTTAAAAATGCCTTCAAAATAAAATACAGTTACACCAAAAAATGAAAGCGCTGGAATTCTTCACCTATTCCACCACCGAAAATTACAGTGTAATATTCCCCATTATAATCCACTTTTCTAATTACATAAAATAGCAGGTGAACACTGCCATATATTGCATGACCGGACCGCACTGAGACTGTGTGGCCCGGTACCATTTGATCCGCGGACCGGGGGTTGGGGAACACTGCTTTAAGCTATGCAGCTTTGCCCTAAGCTAGGGCGCTAGGGCTTATTCAGGGACTCTACAATTAATCCTTATTACAGGGTGAAAGCATCTTGCCCGGGTCATCATTTTTAAATTAATATCTCTAGGACTACTGTTGTGCTGTTACTCTGGAACTCTCTCCTGCATGCCATCAGGATTCCACAAAAATCTAAAAGGCCAAGTTTATAGGGCATTACAATTTATATCAGATATGGCAAACTCAAATGCTACAAAGGACACAACAGAGCTGCATTCACCTCATTCCATAACATACACTTTGACAAGTCTGATTTATACCCAGGGCCGGATTCCAGACAAGGCCACCGAGGCCTGGCCTCGGGGCGGCAGGGAGCAGAGGGACGGCACAGGTTTTGCAGTCTCCCGACGCCCGGAACTCCATGTAATTTGTTTTCCACATTTAGCCCTGCTTTGCACAAGCAGGGCTAAATGTAGAGCGGGGAAACCGCGTGTTTCTTTACAAGTGATCTTGGCTATGTCACCTACCTCTCTCTATGCTGGCTCCGTCCTCCCGGCTCCGTCCTCTCTTCGCTGGCCGCCGCTGTCTTCAGGATGGAGAGTGATGAGCAGAGCAGTTAAAAGTAACCTTGCCACTCCGTGTAAACAGTGACAGGGGAGAGCAGTCTTCCCCTCTCAGCTGTCACAGGAGTTCCAGCACAGTGCTGTGCTAGAACTCCTGTATTGGAGGTGACAGGGTCAATAAAGAGAACCTGTCACCTCTAAATGCTATCACACAGGGGCTTCTTAGCTCCTGTGTGATAGCAATAAAGTTAAAAATGATAATTACATAAATAAAAATAAGTTCAAACGAACCCTGCCACCCCTGCTATCTGGTTGGCATTCTCCATGGGGGGGGGGAGGGGGGCACATTGCTGAACCTGGCCTTGGGGCAGCAGGGAGAGTAAATCCGGTCCTGTTTATAACATCTCTCTACCTATTTTTACCGTGACCTCTCCCATCGCATCTCCAATCACAACTGCTACTGCCAAAACTCCCTTATCTCTTATGTGTTTCCTTTGAAATTGTAAACTCTTTTAGGCAAAGTTCTCACTCCTAGTGTATGTTTGTATGTTGACAGTATTATAACTGTAGCTCCCTAATGGTGCTATTTACATGAAGAAAAAAAAATTCAAAAATGTAAAAAACAAAATTTTAAAAATGTCAGGCCAAAACCAAAAGGGAAAATGTTTTTTATTTTAACTTTAAAAAAAAATGTTTTTATATTTATTTTTTTATAAACCTTTTAATTTTTGTATATTTTATTTATTCATAAAGAGATTGAGGACACAGAGAAATCACGGATGCACCGCTATATTGGCCAGAAAATGGCACTTTTGGCATTTTGCCAGCCGATATATCGGTGCATCCCTAATTATTATTATCATTATTATTAGAATTAACCCCAAATGAGAGACAAATAATAGGACTGTGTACATCATTATTTCCTGGTATTCAACATAATTGAGCTAAAAATACTTTTGAGTAGGGATGCACCGATACCGATACTAGTATCGGTGCAGTGCCATTCAGGAAGCCAGGTGGTGAGTCATTACACGACGCCTGGCTTCCTGAATGGGGCTTCTGGTATTCGTCCTCGATACCGAAATACCGCCATCGGTGCATCCCTACTTTTGAGGATAATATCACTTTAAGCTGCTAAAAAGAGCGCTCTAGGAATGGTTTGGAATAACGTCTTTAGTAAGTAAATGAAGTGTCCTGAATTATATCAGAGTGATTAAGCAGAGGTAAGATGAAAGGACGACATCAAAGATGCAAGGTAATATACTTTTTCTAGTTCACAGGTGAATTTTTTAGGGCAGCACTTTGCATACCAGTCTAAATATAGTTTTCAGAGTATCTTAAAGTGTACCTGAATTAAAAAAGTGAAGATTTGATGTATTTCAGGAAACCACTAGAAATGTAATAGTTTTGCAGTGTAGTCGTAGTACAGTGAAACTTTCCTTTTACTGTATATCCGCAGTGATAGATGATCTAGGACACTGCTGTCCCTGACTGCTAGTTTATACCCGATTATGATCTGCCAGCACAGTACAGGAGGAGTAATTAAGGTAAAAGCCCTCACGGACAGGGCCCTCCTCCTTACCATCTTATCTTGATTTGTATTGTGATTGTAATGTCTTCCTTATATTGTAAAGCGCTGCGCAAACTGTTGGCGCTATATAAATCCTGTATTGTAATATTAATAAACATTAACTTATGAACTTGTTAGTGAATATGACTACTTCAAGAAGAGTTAATTTCCTAGCACAGCCCCTTCCCTTCTTGCTTGCCATAGCCCTCTCCTCTTCTGGGAGTGTCTAATTATATTGTATGCTGGCCCAGCTCCTCCTTCCCTAAATAACTTTTTATGTAGCT